CCCTTTTTTGATAAACAAGACAACTTTTTTTTCACATAAAAGTGTCTACTGTTTCTGTCTCTTTGTATACACAAGGAAGCCGTCCGCCAAAGGAAACCTTTCACTGAGCCAGATATAACTAACTGAACCACATAGAAGTAGAGGAAAGTAGACGACAACTCTGAAGCCGAGTATAGCAGAAAGTGGTGAACTGATTCCTAGCATTTTTTCAGCTACAAAGTATTTACCCAAAATGACCTCTTGAAATTTTCAAAGGTGAGGACTCTACCCCACACCAAGCAAAGAACCACTCTGGCAGTATTCAAGCTCAACAAACAGCCCTCGATGAAGAGGATGCATGACAACCAATGTTATTTTTGTAGAATATACGAACGTAAAACACCCTTATTGAAACCCACAGACGATCTAAGTACATATCCAAAACTCTTGAACCTTCACTACATGAATATCCAAAAACATAAAACATTTCTTCCTATTTGTCTGTTTAATTACTTTAGTTAGCTCCATTGATGATGGAAAGGCGCCTAGAATTTTTTATTGTTCTGATGTTTATTTACCAAAAGCAAAAGTGAAGGGGGCTATCACCCGTTAAAATAATAAGAGGACGCAACCCTGCGATGCAAACCAGTGTCAACATCTTTGTGCATAGTGTAACCTTTCTCACCTTTGTCTTCTCTATGAATAGTATAATGTGATGGCAAAGAATAAATATTTATTTTTTGGATGAATCTAGGGTATCCCCCGCATGTAGGCGAGGACTAATCCCTCGAGCCAGGTCGGACCCCATTTGGGGGGGGAAGCTCTCCCAATGTTGGCTTCTCCATTCACAAGGTTTGAACTCGAGACCTTGTTTAAGGGGAACAAGCTCCTTACCACTTGAACCACCAAGCATTGGTAAAGAATAAATATTATAACAACAACAACAACAGATAACAAAAATGTTATGGATGAAAGGAGATTGAAATATTGTTTGCAAGTAAATTGAAAAACCCAAAAGAAAAAAGGAATTAAATTTCTGGACAATTCAAAAATTAGCTTGAATGTATGTGCCAATGATAAAGATAGAACACTTGGCATGATGGACAAGAAAATCAGAAAAAATCATTATTCTGCAAATAAAAGGTGTAATGAACCCAAACTAAAACCGATACCTTGAACTCGAGCAGAACCACAATCTGACTCTGACATTTTAAACTCATCTCTAACTTTGGCAAGCTCAAGTTTCAGTTTTTCTGCAGAAGACATGTTATCTGGATGGAAATACTGCATAAACATTTTATTAATATATTAGGCACCAAACTATTGATCAAAATTAACAAAATTTGCAATGTAGAATTATTTCGTGTGAGAATCACAACAATTCAAGCATCTATTAAGTGAAAACCAAAATTTTTCTGAGCTTTCAAACAGATAGCATACAACATGAACCAAATAAGACCTCAAGTGATGACAGGCAGTCGTGCATACTATGTGTTGTTATGAAGGCTGATTAATATTGAGGACAACATCATAGCACGTGGTGGAGTAAGGACAATTGAGTATTTGAATTACGTGAATCTTGTGCAAATTCTTAACTGACGTGTAAAGTTAACAGAAAAGCTATACTTGCCTTTTCAACCAAATTTTCCTTTGGAGGTTGCAGCATAAAGTTTGGAGTTCGACCTATATGTGACAAGACATCAATTCTCTGGACTGCTGCAACAACAGAATCAATCAGTAAATTGCAAGATACTCATCCAATAAAATCAATCGCGCAACACAATTTGAAATTTTGTTGTAGCTTTAGCTGTAAATTAAAAATTTAAAACATACAAACCAACAAACTGAAATTTGTTAATTCACTTTTTTACTTTACATTGTGATAATCCAGCACTTCTATTTGGAAAGCAAACAGAAGATAGAACTTGAGCCAATTCCTGTACCAAGTCCTCGTTTTCAAATTTTAATCAAACTAGGAAGGAAAGCAAATTAGTTTCAGTTGGGGAAGATCACTATATTTGAAGCACATATAACTTACTCCAAACATGGAAAAATTTCACGCGTAGTATGAAAGCAAGCTTAAACCTATGAATTCTGTAAACAAACGAAACAAATAGTACGCAAACAACACATTACTGAAAAATTCAAGTTTATCCCAAATTGTCAGAAACAGAGCACCAGACTAGACTCTACCTTGTCATAAAGCCTGGAGCCATTACAGTCATAACAAACTTTGGAACTAAATCCAAATATAATTTAAAAGGTTCTTGTTCAATAATTAGCGATACAGAATTGTGGCACCTATCTAGCAAGTAGCACAAAAGTTTTTCCAGAAAATGGCTTGTTAAGCTGGAATCTGTTAAATTTCATCCCATTCCATCAGTACAACATCTCAGCAAACAAACTGTTTATTTCAAGAAGTGAACTTTTCAAATAACACAAGACAATATAGAAATCCAGCACAAAACTGCTCACTTACTCGATGATTTCTTTGCCTTTTCCTGGTCCGTCATCTGCAACTTCACCAAGCTTTCCCTTAAATCCCGGAATGTAAGGTTGCCAATGGCGGCCTGAGTCTCCTTCTCTTCCATCTCCCTCAACTTCATCAGCCTCTCATTTAACTCCTCCAATGAAAACCAGTTTTGCCCCTTCTCGTCCGGCCTCAACTTCCTCAACTTCTCCCCCAACTCTGCATAACTGTACATCTTCACGAAATTCGTCTTCATTTCAATCGAGCCATCTTCTGCATTTTTCTCCTTTCTTAACTCCTTACCGAAAATCGACGATGGCAAAGGAGTGCCAGTCCCACCGATCACATTCGGCTGGTTCGGCTCCAGGCGCAAACTCTCTGTATACCGCGACAATGACAAAGGGTCCTTTCTATCATTTTGCACACTGGGATTCTTTATCTTCCTCAAACTCTCTCGAATCGTATCGAAAGAGAGCTTCCGGTCACTATTGGCATTGCCGCCCTCAGCCTTGCCAAGCACATTTCTCTTGTAGAGCTCTTGAAAAGAGATATGCTGTGGAAAACCTGGAGCCGTAGAAGAATGTTGCGAAGCCGCAGGGCCTGATTCGGTGGGGTCCGGCACGGAGGTTCGGCGCCGGTACTCGGAGAGGTTTTTGCGGATTTCTTCCAAGGAAGCAACTTTGGAGGTCCTGGAGGGAGAAGGGTTTGGATATGAGGGGTTTTGAGGAGTGGGTCTTCTCTGTTCCGGCGGCGGCGGCGGCGGTTGTTGCTGCTGTTGATGTTGCCTGAGGCTGGCTTTGACGTCGCTGAAATAGGAAGAGAGAGAGGAAGAGTGAGATTGGGGATTTGGGTCGGTGGGTTCCTTCGGGTCAGATGGGTCCTTTGGGTCAGATGGGTCGGAGGAGGAGGAGGATTTGGTGCAGAACAGGTGGGTAAGAGATGGGTTCGTGAGGTTTCGGTGCCTGGATCTCAGTTGGAGAGCCATTGTTAGCCGAAATGGATGATGGCCTAGGTTTTAGAATTTGAGGAAGACGAAGATGGAGACGAAGAAAACTACAGGGTTTAGAAGGGTACTTGGGTTTAGGAACCGGTTTTTTGTCGAGGTCGGACCGGGTTTGGCTATGTGGCAGTTTTGAGACTTCCAAAACCAAGTGTCATTAACTCAAATTTGGAGGACCAATTACAATCATTTACTTAATACGATGATTATCTAACGGTTAAATATGATATTTTATCTATTTGGCTGCAAATCTGATCGTTAAATAGTAAATGTATAAAGTAAATACAAGTATCTTAGTCCAATATCAACTTTTAATGGGTCAAATGTTGATTATGTAGCGGTGATTTTCAAACTGATTGGATCAAAAACAACGTTTACTCTTTATTTCAAAATTTTAGAATCAAAGTGGATCATTTTTTTCAACTTTAAAATTTTTGAGAATGTTTGAAATCTAAATAATCTTCAATGGTATCTTGAATATCATTCAAAATGATGCGTAGACTTTCGATGGTCACTCTTGCTCGGGTGTTTGCAACACCATCTTTTTTACTTAGATGCCTTTCTTGACAATTTTGTTTGTGGTAAATTTACGAACTTCTTTCAATTTTTTACTTAGATGCCTTTCTTGGCAATTTTGTTTGTGGTAAATTTACGGACTTCTTTCAATTTCTGATCGAGATTGACGCGGCATTCGTGGTTAGATGATGGGATTTTCCTTCTTTTAATATCAGCGGTGCTGCTTGGTAGGATTTTTGATGTCTGCTGGGGAAATCGATTCGGTTTGATAGGAAAATACTATTGTGGTGGTGGTAGAAGGGTTTTAGAATTTTCTTTTATTTTGTATCTAGCTTTGGACCCTTGGTTGGGCTCTTTTATGTTAGCTTAGGTGCCCGTGTTTGTTTTGTTTACAAGTGTATTTGGGCCTTTGGTTTGTAAATTAATTTTGGAATAAAATTGTCCCTTTTTACGGAAATGATTTACTTAAAAAAAAAAAAAAAGAACTCCACAATTAAAATATAAAACTAACTCGTACACATCCGAAGCGAAACGTGCCGCATCGCTAACTGACAGACGTCACTATCTTCTAAACCTACCCCAATTCTTGGTCCTGAAAGATTTTCCAGTGTAACCAGTATACGAGATAATATATCACGTATTATTATATAAATAATATGATATATGTGCTAAAAAATTAATAATTTAAACAATAAAATTTTCCATTACTTTTATTAAAACACGTAATGTACCATTTATGTTTCTGTCGCAATTAAAAATTTATTCTCACTCACCTCCGGTCCCACGTTCGTCTACCCACACCACAATCCTACTAACAAATGAACTTTGTGTGTCATCGACTCATCCATCAAAACCATTAACAAAGACAAAAAAAATAAAAATAAAAAGGCCACGCGAGGTTGGTCCAGCACTGCCACTTGTTCCCACTGCGATGGCCCACCATAAAATTGAGAAAAAGATCGCCAGAGAAAAAAAAAAGAAAAAAGAAAAAAAAGAAAAAGGGGAAAAGTCCAAACAAAGAGGAAGAAGGGGAAGAGTTGTGACCTGTGAGTTTGTTGTTGATGAGAAACACAAGAAAAGAAAGTCGACAAAGCTTCAATTATATTTATATTCTTTCCTTCTTTTCTTCTTTATGCACACAGACAAACCCTCATAAATTTAAAAAGATTTTCTTTCTCCCCTTTTCTCTCTCGCCACCCTCTTCTTCTTCGTCCTCTCTCTCTTTTCAAAAAACCAGGAGAAGCAAAAAACCGTCAGTGAATACACTATGACTTCCCCCGATGACAGTGACGGCGGCTGGGTCAACCTCGCCATGAACGACGAGGCGGCGGTCGTCGACCTTCTTCTCCGCCTCAAGCACTCCGCGCCGCCTCCGCCGTCGAAGCGCAGTAGTATTCACAGCTTTCCGACTTTGCGGTGGTGCGTAAGGCAGCGCCGCTCCAGGAACGTGCCACGTCGCCACCATGCCGACGACGTCGATGCTGAGGACAGAAAGAGCACGAAGGGTGAGTCGAGCGGCGCCAGGGCCAGCCCCACCACGCCACTTTCCTGGAGCGGTGCCACTTCGGCTGGCGGCGTCGACGGCTCCGAAGAGTCCAGCAAGCTGCTTAAGCCGACCGATGCCGCGAGATCTAAGGTGTGTATATGTCTCTGTCACTGTCACTCATTAGGGTCGGGCCGGGGTTTGGTTCGGTGGCTTTTTTTTTGCTACTTTTTTATCTTAATTTTTGGATTATCTAATTGACGAAACTACCCCTTAGAAGCTAGGGTATTTACACGGGAGAGGAACCCGGCCGTCCGTCTCTTTCTATTTCCGCAGTCTGTTTGTGGAGGGGGCTTCCAACCAGTCGTTGTCCTTTTGACTATTATGCCCTTACGTTGCATTTGCTTGTGGATGCATCGTTGCCGCCGGGGAAAATTCGGTCATTTCGCACACCGTACCGGTTTCTCTGCTCGCCGGTCGTTTGGACTGGGCGCTGTCGTTTTACCATTGTCAACGTCTTCCGTTATTTTCTAGGTTTTGATTTGAGGGTTTTTCAGAGGACGCGATGACGCTTTGACGTTTTTTCACTCGTCTTTTCCGCTCCTGTCACGCTTGTTCCGCTGGAAACCCCAAAATACCCTTCTATGAGTGGCATTTTCGTCATTGAACAAAGTCTCAGCCAACCCCCCAGCACTCCCCTAAGCCCAACCCTCTTCTGTCGGAGTGATGAAATGACGTAATACTGTCTGCCAAAGTCAAACTGTACTTGAAACTTCGAGGGCAATTGGGGAATATAGAAACAGGGTGACCTGCTTTATCGGTGGCGTGCCTTGGTGGCAAAATAGGTCTGCGTGTTGTACTGTTGTGTGGTTTGGTGTGGTGCTGGTAGTGGTTGTGCAGTGAGGGGGAAATCATTGGGTGTGGTCGGCCGCAGTTTGGCGTTTCCTGCAGACGCATGGTAACGACCAAGTCGAATGGGCGCCCTGCGACGTCGTTTATTCCATATGCAGCATTAAAACAAGAATTAACTCACCTATTTTACTTTTCACTCATTTTTTTTAACTTTTGATCGTCGAATTAGATGAATTAATGAAAATCAACAAATAAAAATTAACAAAAAGTACGTAAAAAGTAAAATTTGATGCGTGGATACATAGCCTTACAAATATTGTTACCAATGGGTACACAGTCCCTCTTACGGAAAGACGAGGTCAAGCTTGGATCCAATGGAAACTCAGTCAAATGGGAAAACTTTTTGTTCGGACTGTCTGTCACGAGATCGTAAGTGACAGCCTGGCATGTTAGCCTGTTTATGCTTTGGTGGGTCCCAAAGGAAGATGTAAAAAAGTGGCTCTTTGGGTGGAGTTGTCTCTCCCAAATTGTTATAAGCTGAATTTGTTGTTGCTTGGTGCCCTTTTAGGGTTTTCTGTTTTTTTATTTAATTTATTTATTTAATTTTATTTTTGGTAGGTTGAATGATTGCAGTAGGCACATTTTTTGGTCGAAAACTGAGACGCGAATTGCTCCAAGAAAGTAACTAAAAAGAGTATGGGAAGTTTACATAATGTGTGGGCTGCTCATTTGAAATTGTCACCATATGTACATAAGTGAAACGCACATTGACATTGTCACGAGAAAGTCATTAAAAAACCCTTTAAAAGTTCTTTTTGGCCTCGGAGCGGTGCGAGTTTGAATATCTATAGGAATATGCATAATAGAACTCCTTCTAACAACCTATGTGGATTTATTGTTACATGGACTTTGCAGTGGTTTCGATCACTCCGTTTGACATGTGTACCTGGTTATATTTTTTTTCACTTGTAAGCTGTTTGCGGCCTTTTCTATATCCGCCGAGCTGGCTAGCTCTGATATGTATTTTTTTTTTTTTAACTGTACAACTTGCTGAGTAGTGTTTTGTTTGACGAATTTATTGAGTTGTGTTATGTTCGGTGTGTGCAGGTTGCTGTTAGAAATGAATCAACCATCTTCAAGAGGCCAAGAAAGAAGAAGGTAAATATACCGTTATGTATTTGCACTAGTACGATATTCGTGGAAAGTTTATGAAGAAAGTCCAATTAAGTTTATGTATTCTGGCTAATTGAAGTCTTAGCTCAAAGACTCAAACCACAAAAAGTTCTAACTCTTAATGGTAATAAGTATCCGAAAGTCAGCAGTAAGATATCTTTACTGAGCAGATCATACTAAAAGCTCTGAACGAGTGACCTTGACGGGGCTTAAACTTGGGACCTCTTTCATTTACAGCGTAAATATCCTCGGAATTACTTGCTCAATGGCTGCATTTCAATAGTTTCTCCTCCCCTGTTCTTTCTTTGGTTTGTTTGTGGTGGTGTGCTGAATATTGTTGGATTCATATGTCATAGCGTAGTGATAAAATCTTGTGGCTGCATGCAGACTTTAGCTGAATTAAAAGAGGAGGAGAGTCTGCTGTTGAAGGAAAGAAGAAATTTGGAAAATGTACGTCTTAAAGATACTACACTATATGTCCCAATATGTCTTCGTGGAGATACCTGGATATTGATTTCTTTAATTTATTCTCTGAGCAGGAATTGGCAACTCTACGCCTCACTGTTGAGAAGCAGAGGGCCACAAATGAAAGCTTGAAAAAAGTGAAGGTGAATGCGCTGTTACTACTCTCTGTAGGCTCTAAATATGTATGCATTTATGATATACCTAAAACTTACAGTCTGAAAAGTCGTAACGGAGTGACTATTGTGCGGAAATATATGTGGCTGTTGTGCAATAGCCTTACCTAATAGGATTACAATAAATTTCACTAATAGGATTTTTTATGCGTAATTTGCCAGTTTCTCTCCTTACTATGTATTGTTTAACATGATTCTTTAGCCTTTAGTCATTTCAGAGGAGTGGTTGACGCCTGCATTTTGCGGTCTCTTTTGTGTCGTTAAGATGCAGATGTTGAAAGTTGTAGACTTTTCGTTTCATCCTCTTAGAGTTGCTATCCTGGCAAAACATTTCCCATCCCATTGCACTTAAGTAGGAAGTCCACCTCTGTCAGAATATGTACATATGGACATTATGTGTATATTATGCATCAGTGACCAGCTTGCTCCATGAATCATGACGCAGTGCTTCATCTTTTCTTGAGGGTTGACTTGTTTTAGGCATGGATAGTGCAAAATATGGTCTTCTGGGTTTGTAGTTTCCTCCAATAAGAATTGCTTCTTCCATTGAACTACTTGTTTCGTAGCTTATAGAATAAAATAGAAAAAGAAAACTTAACTGTTCACACTCTGTTTGAAAATTCTTGTATTAAGAAATTATCAACGTGAAAGTTTGAAGAAATTGCTTACTTTTGAGGAGTACATAACTTATGTCGATGATAGCTTAGTGTAGATTTGCTTTTTTAATCATTTGCGAGACGACAAAGAACCAAGTATGCAATCATTTACATTTTCAGGATTACCAGCATGTATAACATGTTTTGTAATATTGGTTTTATCTTTCGGTTACAGCTTGAGTTGCAGTTGCCGCAGACAAAAATGAAAGCTACAACACCTGTATTGTCTGGTGAAGCCATTTGGCACCAACATGAGCAAATAAATGCGGTTGGTGACACTACTCCAACAATGAAAACAAGTGTTCATTGCAATAACGTTGGCACTTCACAAAGCTCCTGTCCCTCAAATGTTTCTTCCAAGGTACAACAAGAGGTTGGGAGCCGAGACACTGCCTTTTCGCTACCTGATCTAAATCTTCCATTTGGGGAGGACCCTGGCTCCGAGGTTTTATATGGAACGAGCTGAGAAGATTCAGATTTGTACTATTATTCAGTTTTCTAATCACGCGGCGCCAAGATCTGCAGCAGCGTTTAGCTTAATAAGATAGAACTCATCCATCCTACGTTCCTAACGGTATTTTAGGTTGACAAACTGAAAGTGCAAGTATAAAAGCCCGTCTCCTCCGCCGCTTTATGAAGTGAACGCGGCGGATATTATTTTGTTTCTTTATAGATGAAATCACTGAGGGTAGTGTAGAGATCCTAACCCTGAACACATTTTCACATTTCCAGGTTTCTATGTTTTGTCTGAAGTTCTTTGGGAACCCTCCTCCCTGTCCCTTTTTTTTCGTTTATTATAATTTTTTTTTGGAAATATTGACTCTAATGTAATCACACTCCATAATACCTTAATTCTCTGTTATTGTCACTCTTGCATTTTATTTTATTTTTCATCATCTTTTCGGGTACGTCTCCTTGTATAATGGAGTTTTGGACAATGAAGGTTGGATGTGTAGGCAGAGCTGCTCCTGCCAACCCTGCTAATATTGGTCTGGGAAGAACTCAAATTATGGAGATACCGATTTGCAGGTACCGATTCCGGCGACTTGATGTTGCCATGACGCCATTTCCGTCTTTGGCTGTGTGGAACTGCCGTTGAGTTTCAGAGCTATTTGCAATCGAGAACCTAAAAGACTAACGGCTGCTGGATCAGTTCCTGAAGGGATTATTTCCCAATAATTTTGTTAGTTGCTTTTTTATCTGTAGCCTTCAATCATAGCGATAAAATCGGGTTGGTAAGAAACCACAGTGGTTACTTCCTTGAGCTGAGAAATAAAGTCCAGGCTTTGGAGTTCCCAGTATCCCCTATCAAACCTAGATGCCTAGAAAAATTGTCGAACAAGCAAATCAATCAAAACATTCCAAAGCCATACGTACTACCTCAACACAGAGAAATACAAGTTAAGATTTTCAACGTACCTAGTCTGGGAGAGAGTTCACTCAAACCATTTCCAGCTCCAAACTTACGAGTACCGTTATGTTTGAAGTGTTTAAATTAGGGAGTCTTGGAAAGAGTGATCATTGTCGAGACTAGGTTGTCATCACAATAGTCCTGAATACTCACACTCAAAGACCAAACATTGCGTGATGGTGGTGATGTATGGTAAGAGATCACTTGCAAGCGCTCTAAAGAGTTAATTCGAAAGAGATTGAAGGAGATTCACATCCAGCTTTGAGGATCTATATTGGTACGTTGTTGTGGTTCTGATGTGTAACTTTCCTTGAATAAGCGGTTAAGAAATCACTTGCAAGGGCTCTAAAGAGTTAATTTGAAGGAGATTCATAATTGACATAGATTCACATTTTTATTTGAGGATCCATATTGCTACGTTGTAGCGACGCAACTCGGTACATAAACTGCACACCAAATGTGTAAGTACAAAAACTTCATGTCGTACCCAGTAAGCGACTGTAACACTATAAATAGGGTGGATGGTGATGGGCCTCAAGTGGACAAACATAATTGGCACACAAGATTGTATAGCCCTCAGGTGGACAAACATAATTGGCACACAAGTTTGTATAGCCCTAGGCAGAAACCAAAAGCTTGGTGCGTTCACCAAGCTCTGGGCGATCAATTGATTAAGCTATATGACTGTTATGCGAGATTTTTGATTGGGGTGAACATAGGGAATATGATGTTCAATTTCAAACACAAAAGACATGCAATACTTATCGAACAATCTTTGATGTGAAATTTTTGGCATTATCCAGTCATCACCCTATTCCGTAGGAAAACTGAACAACTGCCAAGTCCACTTGTTGTTGAAAGTCGCCTTGGTCTCATTAGCTCATAAGGGGTCGAAAAAGCAAAGTGTGAGTGGATCGTAATTATTTATCTAGTCAAAACATTTTGAAAGTACTAACACATGCTCTAGAAATCTCATATAGTCAAAACATTTCAAAGAGTGTGCATAAACCAATCAACTCCATCTGCATGTGTTCTAATATCTTAGTGGATAAAGTGTTGGGTTTGCACCCCTGTGTCCCGGATTCGAAACTCCCCCTCCTCTTAAATTATTGTAATAGTTTTGAACCCTCCACTCTCTTTAATAATAATTAAAAAAAATAAAAAATTCAACTCCATCTGTATGCCGAGAAGCCAACCTGAAATCATTCTGAAACATTGGACAATAAACCTTGACTTGCAAGATTAATTTGAGTTTTATTACAATTCAGTCTACAAACTTGAAATAATTAATTTCAAGCAACTTTACAAATGTTAAAAAAACGAACGGGTAACAAATTAATCTACAACAATAATAACAATCAAGTCTTATCCCACTAAACGAGTAACATATAAATCCACAACCATATGAATATTATGCAAAACACTAACACATTAGAATCCCTTTCGGATGTTAAAATTTTCTGCTTCTTTCAGAAGCGCGGTCAAGAAAAAGTCGCTTGACTCACTTCTATAGGGTAACTGGCATGACACGACCTGCAGGATGGGCATTAATTCTGGGTACAGTGGTAGACCTTGTGTGGTAGTCTGCACGTGGTTTAACTAAGAAACCATCTGGATTGCCGAAAGTTGAGCTGATGATGCCTTCTTCAACATTCCTTTCCGCTGTTTAACCACCTGGATATGATGACCATTGGCTTCTGATGCTTGTGGCTGTGCTACAAAACGATGGAGCAAGAGCTTTTCAGCTGTCAACCTTTCCCGAGGTCTCCGGGCAAAGCAACTCTTCAGGAAATCTCTAGCCTCGCTTGAGATCTCAGCAGGGCTATTGGGAGTTAATTCAAAAGAAGCCATGTCCAAGAACTCGACAAGTTCACATGGGAGCTTGCCGGTTAGCATTTGAAGTACAATACAACCCAGGGACCATACATCAATTGACGTCTCATCCTGTGCATTATCAGTCCAAGCACATGCGTCTGCATACATGGGATTGCCTTCCCATCGACTCCTTCTCTTAGCCAATCCTAAATCTGCAACCTTGGCTACCAAGTTAGCAGTACTAACATTAGACGCGGTCGTACTAGGCATAAGAAGAATGTTTTCCGGCGTCAAATCGCAGTGAACATAACCACACTTGTGTATGTGCTTAAGCCCTTCAAGAATTGTCCTCGTGTAGTGCTTAACATCGGATTCAGGCAATCCCTTACCGTTGGATTTCTTGATCAAACCGTCAAGGCTTCCTCCTGTGGCAAATTCCAGCAACAAGTTGTAGACCATGTCACCCTTGTCAGTGGTTGTGATCTCTTCACCAAAGCGCTCGATAACAAAGGGGCAACCCTTGATCTCAAAGAGAACCTCCGCTTCATGCTGAATAGGATCTGAAGTAGAAACCTCCGCCGATTTAACCGCCATCACAGCAGGCAAATCAAACATACTGCGAAACTTGCTCGTTCTTGGTTTCTTGGGAGTGGCAAGAAACACAGACCCAAAGCTTCCTTCTCCAATCATCTCCCCTCTCAACCAGTGCACTCCATGATTCTTTTGTCCCTTTTCTAATTGTTCTTGAGCCTTTCGTTTCATGATTCTTCTTCACAACTTCTTATTTCTTTGTTTTCTTCACAAGAAATAAGGTGATGCCGCTCGTCTGTAATTGTTTCTTAGAATAGCGACTTGCTTGTTTGTTCTCTCTCTCTCTCTCTCTCTCTCTATATATATATATATATAGAGATAATAGCAACATGCATAGTAGGGTTCAAGAGACGCATCTTTCACTACTACTTGGATATGAAGCTACGTGCAAATACAATGGCAATACTGAGTTAGGGTTTAAAGTCGCATCTTTCTTGGATATTCCTCCAAGTTCAGCCGTCGCCTCCACAAAGCTTTCAGTTTCCACTAGTATGTTCTCATAATTTGATTTGGGTTCCACATCTTCCACTAGACGTTACATCAACCGCCTATTATAATTTACAATACCCAGTATTATTTCCGCTCCTTTTTACCATTCTACCCATTTTTGGAAGTTATTTTATAAAAAGAAAATATCCTACTTTTTCTAAAAAACAGAAGAAAAAAAAAAATGAAAAGAAAAGAAAGGGGGAGGAGATCCATATCCTATGCACACAAAATTTTAATTTTTTTAATTGTCCAGCCGTAACAAACCCCCTCATCCTTGTTTACCAGCACCCGTGCCCAGCGCGTGTCCTTCCTCACAATTTTTTTTTTCAAAAAATAAAGACAACTGGTGGCAAGCAAAATCTTAAAAAAAATCACATAACCACAACCACCACTGCCAGCGGCCGTGCCCAGCGCATGTCCTCCTTCACATTTTTTTTTGTCCAGCGCATGTTCTCCTTCACATTTTTTTTTCTTTCAAAAAATAAAGACAACCGGTGGCAAGCAAAATGTTAAAAAAAATCACATCATCACAACCACCACTGCCCAAAGGCAACAAACCCACCTTCAATTTCAAATTGTTGAAAGATGAGAGGCAAAGATGGAGAGGAACGATTGGTTGGGGCTCGGTTAGTTAGTTTTTTTATTTTTAATTTTATATCAATTGACTTGATTAGTTCATAAAAAAAATTATTTATTTTTTATAACAAACAATATTATCTACACTAAGGGGAGGAGATGTGCTTAGCCTCACAATGAACTAGTAATTATATGGTTTAAACTCACATTTGGCAATAATCGAACATAAAACCTCTCACTTACAAGTGAAAGAGGAAAACCGCTAGATCGTAATACTAAGTAGCTATAAAAAAATTATTTAGAAAAAAGGTATTTTAGAATCAGACAAATTTTTATTCCAATTCAAACGAATTATAAACAATTTATTTTCAATCAGTACCATTTCTACTCCAATTTCAAAAAACTGTAATAACAGTTTTAATGGAAATTTGGATTTAAAATCTCCTTTATTCAATTCATCTACAATCCAATTCCACCTATTTTTAAACAAGGCATCAAGCCTAAGTTGATACTTCTTTTTGGGTGTGAGGATAAAGGCGGATCGGAAGTCCTTCAGCGGGCACGGGCAATGGATTAACAACAATCGTCTCGTCCGCTACAACTTTCTCAAATTTGAACCTTTTCACCAAGTTGTGCATGAACACTAGTATTGCCAATCTTGCGTACTCTTTGCCGGGGCACATCCGTACGCCTCCACCGAATGGAACATATGTGTATGGTGCTGGTCCGCTTCCTTCAAATCTTGACGGGTCGAATTTCTCCGGCTCGGGGAAATAAGCCTCGTTCTTGTGCGTTGAGGTTGCACTCCAATATAACTTCCACCCTTTTGGAATGTATAAACCATGAAACATGAAGTCGGTCAAGGGTTCCCTCCAGCCTCCTTGAACAGGTGAAGACATTCTCAGCACTTCGGAAGCTACATTCCATGAGTATTTCATCTTCTTAAGGTCATCCCAGTTCAGTAACTTCCCTGGACTTTTTGAATTTGCAATCTCCATTTGTTCTGTTAAGTATAAGACAATTTTGCGCTGTTAGTCCACCACACTCGACTAATAAATGCATATGTGTTGCCATTTAAAATTATTTCAATAAATATTCTTATTTGCTTACTTGGAAATTCATGTGTACCTCTGTCTTTTCCTAGGAAAAGGCAATCTCTAAAAGATGTGAATGTCACACCTCACATTATATTATATAAAATAAGTGGACAACAGCATCATTAGTATATTATAGACTTAGAATAATAATAATAAGAAATTTATATCTTAAATCATTTTGTGACACCACGACTTTCCTAGAGATTGGGAGTGCGAGAGAATAAAACTAAAAATCTTATTTTTAAAAGAAAAATTAATGGAAAGTCCAATTATTTTTAGTTTAATGAAAAATAACAAATAAATGTGTAAGTAAATGATATCAGAAAAGATAAAAATATGATTTTTTGTTAAAAGTGAATAGTACCAGAAATGTTTCGTTAAAATTCTCATTTTTAAAGGGGTGTGATATCCACACACCTCTTTTTACTTCTCTCACACTTTTTTAGTTTTCGACCGTCGGATCGGATGAATTGAAGAAAATCAATGAACATAAATTAACAAGGAATGTGTGAGAAGTAAAAAATGGTGTGTAGATAGCACACCCCTTTTTAAATGCTTGAAAACTGAGCTCATATGATCCATTGGCTTTCTAGAGACACGCGGCTCCTTTCCTATTTAAGTTATATCACGTGGGGCTCAAATCCATCGACTTTCCTATATATGTATACAAAAGCGAATACTATCAACAGGATCAAACTTTAATTGGTTTTTCACCTTCTCTTGATTGTACTTGTAGCTATATAAAAATTTCATTAAATTTTCCTTCAATAATATCAAAATTTCTGTTTACAAACAAAATGATACTGTATATATTGAATTACGGGAAAAGAGATTTGAACACAGAATTTCGAGTATAAATAAAAATAGGGTTCTTTAGATATAGACATTTGCAATTCTTATTTCCTAGATAAAAATTCATCTAATTTTAAACATCTAAATTTGAAAAAGACTACCAAATAGAAAAGTAATTGACATATTATTACAAAATATTTACAACTTGTGCCACAATATTCAAATCAAATCATTAAATATTATTACTTACCTTAATTATAACGAACAAATAATTATTGCACATACTATTACCTCTAACATATATAAATTATATATATACATAAATTCATTCAAAAGTATATCATACTACTAAAAGTTCAATATACATATAATTTACTTATATGTATATAGTACTACTATACATTCAAATATATATATGCCCAGTACTAACATATATGTTAACAAATTATTATATGTAATTGATTTACCTATTTGTAAATTTATGATTAGAAATAATATATTTTGTAGGTAAATTAGTATTAAATAAAATAATGTTGCTTTATTATGTAGGTAAATTATTTTGCATATATTGGGTTTGTTTATTATGTAGGTAAATTATTTTTCATGTATTTTACATAGATAGGGTAAATTATTTTGAGCAATATAACATTTTAAAATTTTAATAGTAGGTGCACTATTTGAATCAAATAACATTTTTTAGGTAAATTATTTTGCATGAAATTTTACATATATTAGTCATTTTTTTTATATATGCGTGTGAAATAATTTACCTATATTAATATGTAAAATATAATTTTAGTGACTTAATTAAGAATGTCAATATATTAGACATGTTTTATTGTTATTATATATTAGGCAATGAATTTATAACAAATGTTTTTTAGTAAAATTATTAATTCTCCCTTATAATTCGCATGGCATTAATTGTGTACATCAAACATTCAAATAGGGGTATTTTAGGCATCCATAAAATTTTAAATGTGTTAAGTCAAACATATTTAATGAATTTGCTGATGTGGAATCGAATAAATGAGTTTTATTTGAGTAAACAACTTATTTCGGGTTTTATGCGGAGAAAATTAAGTTTTAAAGACTAAAGTTATATTTTCAGATAAAAATATGATACATGTGACTAAAATGGATAGTATTTGACAAATATGTTGACAGTTTTTTTGGTCAGAATATGTTGACAGTTGGTTACCGTTGTAGACTGCATCATAGACATGAGGAAGCTCGGCAAGATACTTGACAATGAAAGCGCAGGTAGCGCTCGTCGTTTCATGGCCAGCAATCAACAACCCATTAATCCAATCAGCAATTTCCAATTCCGTCGCGGACGTTCCGTGCTCATCGCACGTCAACAGCATGTGTGACAATATGTCTTGTGTTGGGGAGGCCTTGCCCTCTGCCAAATCAATCTTCCTCTGCTTAATTATCTTATGCAGCTTGTCCCTGATGAATTTGGAGGACTTTATGGCAGTATGAAATGGGGTCCCTGGGAAGTCAATCGGCATCGATATGATTCCGGCGTTCAACAGATGGATTGAATGGCCGATTTCTTCCATTTCCTTTGGGTTCTCAAGGCTCAGAAACAAGCGTACAGCAAGACCAAAGGTGTAGCTATATTCATGTACGTAACACACATTATATATCATATAAAAACCAAATATTCGTACGTCCAAGCTTTATATGGGGTTTTTGAAATTTTATTCTTTGAAAAATTGAAAAAGAATTAGAACATGGGGTTCTAATTCAAATTCATATTATATATTGTTTTAATATTTAATGAGTGTTTTTTACTTAAGCATCGATTAATATGTTTAATTCTTATTGGTGACACATCACATAGTTTGCAGATATGGTCTAAAAAGTTAGTCTACCTAGCATTATTCATAATTTTTAGCTTCATTATACATATCCCTATCCAAAATATATGGAATTGATCTATAAACGTACATATGTGTTATCAAACTATAAATCTTGCGATGTTAATCCATCATCGTCATATTTTAATGTGAATCTAAATAGTAAATTTTTGTTGAGATTGAGATTCACAGAAGTCTACCAGAAAGAAAATATATAAATTAATAAATTTCTTGATGTACACAATAGTTGGACTTACTCGTTAGTGAGGGGGAAGGCTTGAACTTGGTTTTTATTTTCCCAAGCATCAGCAAAGTGTGTACGGGCACTAGTGTCCATGATGCCGATGTATCGTTGCAAAACCTCAGGCTTCATGAACTTCGGAATCAACTTTCTAAACTTCTTTTTAGAAGTTTCAGTGGAAGAAGGGAAGACCTTTTGGATCGAGCTGGGATACC